CGTCGTTTCATTTCCACAACGCGCTGGAAAATCTCGACAAGGTCCCAAATGACAAGTCATCATTCGGGTACGGGTTTTCAATGCATACTACACATGAAAACATCCAGCTCAAAATGCGCTTTATTTTACGTCCATAGCGTTGTAACACGTCACTCATGTAACTTGAAGAGGCCGATTTCATTCACTTCTTCTTTCTTTTTAAACTCGTTACACTTTTTTGTACAGAGACTGCGTATACCATCCCTACGGAGATGCGGAAGGGCAGCGCCACCGAGGGCCAAGGTGGAGCCTCCCCTCCTCGTTTATCAAGAGGGCAAATGTAGCCCCTGGTGGCTAATTTGCATCTCTTCCCCTGTCCGTTCCCACAGGTCAGGCACAGCGTGCGAGATCCTATCCCTGAAGTCATCAATCTTGATCGTCTTCTCATGGCCCTGCCCGCCAGTTCACCTACAGCTGAATGCAGTTTTCGCGTGCGGCGGGACGTGAAAACTTGCTTTCCTTAATGGACGTAGTGGAGGATCAACACAGCGGCGGTGCGTTGTTCTCGCCTGGACCAGCAGGATCAGCGGTGTGTTGCCCTTACCTGGACCAGCTGGATCCAGTTCATGCCGCAGCCGCTTTCGTCAGTCAAAACGCATCAAGCAAACGAACGCTTCGCTGTACTAATGACCACACCATGAATGGTGGTGGTGCAGACCCGGAATGAGTATGTGAATTCTGTGATCCTTAATCAGCGTGTCGCTCGGATGCGTTATCAACACTGCGATAAATGGTCATATTTTTCTCACTTGTTCTTGTTTTTATAAGCAAAGAAAAATCTGGAATCGGGCATACAAGCCATAGTGTAGCTGCGGGACAGAAATAAACGAAATATCAACCTACGAAACTTTTATCACCGTACAAACAAAAATTTATACACTGATAAATTATATGGCCAACTAGTCTAGATGATAACGTTTTGTGCTGGGAAGAAGCTTCGACACGACGATGATATTTTTCCGCTGCCATGAAGTAACGGACGTCAGGCGGGCGAGGGAATGATAGCCCATTGACTCATTTCTTTCTAGTCAACTCTCAAGTGGCCAATGTTGTGGATCTCAGCCCCTGCCCCTATCCATGGTTCCCGCGCTCTATGCCTTACAGTGGTTGCAACTGAAGGCACATGTGAAGTTTGCATGCCAATGATCATTTAAGAGAACGCCAGCTGTGGCGATTCAAACTTAAAACATCTCAAAGCACGACTTAGAAAAACTCGTGATTTGTCATCCATTTCATTTTACTCAAGTGTCGTGATGGTCTTCGACATCGTCCCCTCCCCTATCAAATGTTGGTGGCGCCGCCCTGCGTTTGCGTCCTTCTCAGCGTTGAGAGCGGGAGTTCAGATGCCGCCCTGGTCACTGGCACCACCAGGGAGTGATACAGGCTGGAAGTCATATGATATCATAGTCAGGCCGGAAGTCATAAGATATCATAGTCAGGCCGGAAGTCAAGTCCGGCCCGAAGGTCAGACTCTAAAATGTCAGCCAAAGACCCTGTTGCACCGATCGGGGATCCCTAGGGAAATGCGGGTCCCTGTAACGTCAGCTGGCAGAGATCACCAGGACCGAACAGTGGACTCCGTGCCGGTCTGCGCACTGGGGCTGCTCTTCATGATAGGCAAGGTCGACGCGTGGAAATGTTAATCAGAGGGCTTCCTGCATAAAGAGTAAAGGGTCTAATGTGCTCGTCAGAGTTCTCCTGGGGCCGAGATATTCCGCTCAGAGGGCCTGCCACAGCATGGAGGAAACCGGTTATGATGCATCCCTCTGAGGGTCTCTGTACCGACCAGGGGGCCACTGTCCTCCTATCACCAGAATTGCAGCTGCTAGAACGGAACTAGCAGTTACGGTAACACGGTTGCTGTAGCAACTGACCTTTGAGATGTAGACAACATGTAACAGCCGCACTACACGTACATGTACATAAAATGCAGATTACGTTACTACGTCATTAGTTTGTGGTGGTGTACGTGGCAGTGCGCCCCGAATATCAATATGGAAATCGCACAGGCGAGACCTACGGCCCAGGATGCCTCCTACACATTAACCAATTGACTTCATAAAGAGCCGCTGCTATTTACGTCATTCATGCATTTAATTCCCGCTTAATTGTTTTTGCTGTTGTTTTGTCTCTGAACACGGGCTGCATTGCGTATTTTGATAGGTTTCAGCTTATCTGTGTCGACCAAAAAAGTGCAACATGGGCAAGGGAAATTGGTCTCTACCACGGCTGTGGACTTGCCTTGTTTTGTCATGGCCTTGTCCCCGCCCCTTATGTTGGCATGGGCCGTCAAACATTTCCTGACACATTACAAAAGGATGAGAAAGGGTTGGCTCAGACAAAAAGACTATCTTCTTTTATCAGAGTGTTTTTGTCGAATCTTCTTTTATCATTCGTCGTGATGCCATCGCCTTGGACAGTGGAGCCGGAAACACGACTCCGATCCGTCAAAATTAGTGCCTAAAATGAAGCATAACCTTAGACTTGGGATAAACTATGTTATGTTTGGCGGCTTTTTGTTTTATCCGTCAAACGTAAGCCGAGACACTGTTTCCCGCAAACTAAACGTGACATTGACATGTCACAGGTTAAGCACGGGCTCAAAGAACGGGGAACGCAATATCACCAAAAAATTATCGGCCGATTGTAAGCTTGGAAATGTCAGAATGCACGCCACAAAAAGCACTAGCGTCCGTCAAAAAATATTGACCTCTCAAGGTCATTCATCGAGGTCAAACGCAAGTTCAAAGGTCGGAGAACTAGATATCACCAAGAATTATCGGCCGATTTTTAACTTGCAAACATCAGGATATTTACCACAGAAAAACAGCGTCTGTCAGAAGGCCCTGACCTCTCAAGGTCACCCTTCAAGGTCAAACGCTGGCTCAAAGGACGGGGAACGCAGTCTCACCCAAAAAAATTTCGGCCGACTTTAAACCCGCAAACGTCTGAATATTTGCCACAGAAAGAACTAGCGGCCTTCGAAAAGTCCTGACCTTATCCGGTCTCCTTTCAGGGTCAAACGCGGGCTCAAATGACGGAGAACACGATATCACCCAAAAATTACCGGCGGAAATGAAAGCTACAAGCATCAAAACATTCACGAGCGCAAGAGTTCTGAAAAAGTTCTGACTTTAAAAAGTCCTGACTTTCCAAAGTCATCCTTCGAGGTTAAACGCGGGCTCAAATGACGGGAAACTCAACATCACCTAAAAATTACAAGCCGATTTTAAATAAGCAAATGTTAGAATATTCACCGCAGAAAATAATGGCGCCCGCCAAAAAAGTCCTGATTTCTCAAGGCCGTCTTTGAAGATCAAACGCGGGCTAAAAAAACACGGGAACTCAATATCACCCAAAAATTGTCGGCCGATTTCAAACTTGCAAACATCAGAATATTCACCACAGAAAGAACCAGCGTCTTTCAAAAGATCCTGACCTTTCAAGGTCACGCTTCAAGATCAAACGCCAGCGCAAAGGACGGGGAAGTCAACATCACACACAAATTGCGGGCCAATTTTGAACTTTCAAACTTAAAAATATGCACCACGAAAAAAGCCAGCGTCCGTCAAAAATTCTTAACCTTTTAAGGCCACCGTTGAAGGACAAACGCGGGCTCAAAGCATGGGGAACTTGATATTACTCAAAAATTACCGGCCGATTTGACAACTGCAAGGATCAAAACATTCACAAGTGCAAGAGTCAGCGTGCGTTAAAATGTCCTAACTCTTCAGGTTCACCCTTAAAGGTCGAACGCGGGCTCAAAGGACGGGGAACTCAATATCATTGAAAAATTACCGCCCGATTTGAAAATGGTAAATATCGGAATATTCAGCACAAAAAGAATGAAGATCCGCCCAAAAATTCTGACCTTTCAAGATCACCTTTCAAGGTCAAACGCGGGCAGGATTTTTTGGCGGACGCCAGTTTTTCCTGTGGTGAACGATTTGATGTTCGCAAGTTTAAAATCGGACGGTAATTTTTGGATCATATTGCGCTCCCCGTCCCTTCAGCCCGTTTTTGACCTTAAAAGATCACCTTGAGACGTCAGGGCTATTTGACGGACGCTTGTTCTTTCTGTGGTGGATATTTTGCATTTTGCAAGTTTCAATTGTCCGGTAATTTTTGGGTGATATCAAGTTCCCCGTCTTTTTTACCCAGCTTTTGACCCCGAAGGTCACATGATATTGCAAAATGAAGGTCATACTCGATGTTTTCGTGCCATGATTGATGTGAAGACCTTTTTTCAGAGAAATCGGAACTCGTCGCTGAATAAATCGCTGAACAAATCGCTAATTTCACGGGCATCCGTGGTTGGTCTGCAGAGGGGCCCATTCTAGCCTGTAGAGCCCATTCCGCCATATCAAATACCTTTTCTGAACCGTAGAAGCCTTTTCCTGAGCTGTTCTGGTCAAATGAATAATTATTGACCGCGGAGGGTCGATTTTGTCCTGCAGAGAGCCTATTCTAAACATGCGGAGCTCGTTCTGACCTGTGCCGGACTCATTATTGATTGTGAAGAGCCTATTTTAGCTTATATGGGATTTTGAAGTTATCCCTCTCGCCCACCAAACGTGAACGTAGTACCCGCGTCCCTGGACCTCTTACGTTTATCTCCGCACCAATTTCGGAGTGTGTCCTGCTGTATGTTATCTTCAAGGCCATGTAATACGTAACAGTTATGTTTAGGTCGGGCATTCGGTTTTTGGCATTTTAGTCAGCGGCAGGGGATATGGTAGCGGGCGGTAAAGCTATTTTGTCCCATTTAGCCAATTTTTGCACAATTCACAAGATATTCTACTGCAGGCTGAATACTTCGCAGAAAGCACATAATTTGCAATTCACCTGCTGAAAAACCCTGCATGTTTAATATTGAGCTTTTTTGAAGTCAGTCAAAGTCCATATGTTCCGGAGAAAAGTTCCCGTCAATGGGTCATGGAAATAATATTATTTGAACATGGCAGCGTTGTGCCGATGCGTCCTTTCCGTCTAAACAGCCAAGATGAGGTGGGTAACGATAACAAAGTGTGATTTCATCTGGCTAGTAATGCTATGTGCTGATGAAAGTACTGAAACCAATTTTATTTCAGAGTCGGGCTTTGCATATTCAGCGGGTTCAAGATATACCCAGGCCATGGGAAGACCGCCGTGAAGGCCGACGGCAAGGTGAGACCCTGGACGTATAAAATTGTCATATTGTTTTGGGCCGGTATTTGCTTGCTGATTTGTATTGTAGCTGCCTGGGATTCCACATGTAGCACAGCAACAGGTATTTAAGTTATAGGCAGGTGGTGCACCTAAGGAATGATTGCGGCTGGTGGCAGGCGGGCTGTTCTGGTGTCAGATGGCTCGGATGTCAGATGTCATACTTGAGAAAATTCTTGAGTTTCACTCCACTTCATGGTTTCTGCATGACATCTCACGGTCAGCCAGCCTTTCATATGTAGCTTGTTCTGTGGCTTAGAAAAGTTTCCGATGATAAAATTTTCTGGTATTTCATTTGTCTCTGATATCTGGAAAAGGAATGATGACCTTTAGTGATTGCATTGGCATATTAATACCCTTGGGCCATGGTGCTCCAGGATTTGAATCAGGCCCTGCATGTGGGAGTCTGACATATTTTCCACTTGACCATTACATGTCATGTATTGATTGTGGAGCTCTCACACTATAACAGGATAGGGACCTATGCTATAACTGATTTTTTTGCAAGGTTCACATACCACATGCTGGCTGCTACTTAGCTGTGTTTGTGATCACAGTAGGTTTTAGTGCTTATCAAACTTTGTCCTGATAGCTGTTAACTTATCTTGCAGACCTACACCTTCATCCACAAGAAGGCTGAAAAGTCATTCAACATGAAGAGGAATCCTCGTGAAGTCACCTGGACTATCCTCTACAGGTATCGAAAACCATACCCAGATTTTGACCCAGAGTGTGCTACTGTGGGATGAATTTGTATGGTGACATATCGTGAATGGTGTTGAATCAAACTTAGATGGATAGTGGGAGCAAATTTGGGTTTTTCCTGTTCTGGATTTGTTGAGTGGTATAATCCTGAGGTGATTTCCCTGCAGTTATTGCATGGAAGGCTCATATTAATTGTTGAAAATTGTGGGGAGATATTCAGTCACTCCTGCTACCCCCCCCCCCCCCCCCCCACACACATTCTCTAGTTTCTGCACCTCTGTGCAAGACTGATATGGTCTGTTTGGACCAATATGCTGGCTGGGCAGTATTGCCTTAGGGAAGAAGCATTCCATATCACCATTTATGTACCTGTCTGTTTCTTGTGGTGCTTATTGGTGCAGTGGTTACCTTAGACATTGGACATTGGGGAGGAGGAACAGAGAGTGATCTTCAGGTCAGAAGTGGTGCTTTGGAGAGAAATACTAGTAGTTTTAGGGTCATACCTTGTGAAAGTCAGAATCATTGTTGTCCTAGAGGCCACAGCAGCCCTAGGGGGAATCATGGTCAGCTGGCCTTTCACCCTCCTTTCATCCCCCCTCCCATGCAACCTGCAGACATGGCTCATGCTTATCCTGTCTGTGCCATTTGGGTGATCAGTGTCATCAAAGTGCCAGAAAGAATCATTATTGTCTCAATTAAGATCATTTCTCTCCATGTCAATCTGTGAATGTTGCAAGAGTATGGACCAACTTGGAAACATGTTTAGCCATCTTGCATCCCTTGCTAACACATTGTCATGCAATTTGTGGTGGTTGCTTGTAAATATTTGGGTGTCACAATGTTGTGGTGCTCAGTACTGGATGTGAGGTGTTGGTTGTTCAACATTTTCACATCAGTGTTGCAATTTTCAAGGCGTAAGAAACAAGAAGGGTCAGGATGAGGAGACAGTCAAGAAAAACGCTCCCGCCGCACCCACAAGTTCCAGCGGGCATTGTTGGTGCCTCTTTGTCTGGACAATCATGGCCAAAGAGGAACATGAAGCCTGAAGTCAGAAGGCCCAGCGGGAGCAGGCTATCAGGTGGATATCATGCTCTGGTTCCACTCTCTTCATGCCTAGTGGCATGGTCTGAGATAAATTACTGTATTTTATTAGCAATCCAATCCACATGTAGCTTGTTTTTCCTGCTTGTTCTGGGGGGCATACATGCTGTTTTTTCTTGACCCTTCATGCGTTCTGTGGTTTTGAGTGAAAGCTGCTTGCCAGGATGTAGCAATGGTGGAGGCAGGGCATGTCCTTTTCAAGCTAAAAATCATGGTGGGGTGGAGAAAATAAATGATTTGCAGTGTTTGTAATTTTGTAAGCCACAGTGTGTTGACATATATAATTTGTAAGTTTTTTTAATGTGTGGCTGTCATTGGTGGCTGGTAAGTGGTAGGCCATGTTGCAGGATTTTAAATGGTTGTTTGCAAGGCTGTTTGCATCTGGCAAGCAAGGCTCTAATGTCTTGTGATTTTCAGGGCTGCCAAGGAGAAGAACAGGGCCACAAAAAGCGCCAAGGCAAAGACGGCCACACAGAGCAAGGTATGTCTTAAAGCCTAGCGGCCCCTGGGGTGTTGCTTCTGGCTTATGGTAAGGAATTGTTTCATCCTGGGTGAACCGCAAGTTCATTCACAAGACAGACTCATGCAGCTTGTTAAATTTGATATATTTAACCTGTATGAAGAGACAGATGCCAAGGCCACTTATACTGATAGAAAATTGTGTGGCAGAGAGACCTGAGTAAGCCCAGGTTCTATGCATGTCTTAACCTCACAAGATGTTTCATGAAATCCCTTAGTTGCAAATGTGGTAACAGGGAGGGCCAGGTGCCTGGAAATGGCTATCTCTGCCAGATTTAATGTAATTTCTTGGTTGGGAAGGTTATGACATTTTTTTGTTACAAGCTTCTTTGGCAATGTTCGGACATTGTATGATGAGTTTCAGAGACATGCCTCTGAAATTCCCAGACTGCACCATATTGCAACCAGTATTTTGCATCTGTTGAGAATTTAGGTCAAAATGCAATGTTGTGAATTTAACCTGGATGTGTGACATGCCTTCTGAAACCCCTGCTTTCTTGATTATGTTGTGTAAGCTCTTGGTCCTGCCATTCCTGTTTGCAAAGAAATCATGGGTGTGGACATGCCTGTGGTCATATGGAGTTTCCCAGGATTGTACCCAGGTCATCTCTGTCACAGTTCAGATGACTTTCAAACACCGATTGTACATAACTGTAAAACTCCAGGGGCTACTGAGTGGACGGGCATGACGTGGTCCGGTTACTGGCACAACAAACGTTAACTCCGTACCCTGTGTTGAGTTGATGAAATTCCAAATGAGTAGGAGTGGTGGGAAGAGGGGTGTTGGCTTTCATTTGTGATGGATGGATCCGTCTTTGCATTACGTGCAATGTGGGCAAGTGTGGTGATGTAGTCTGCTGTTGGACTTTCCCGAACGATCGGCTAACTATAACTGCCCCGACATGCTTGTTCAAAATGGGCCTCTTGATCGTGTCGGCGGCCATAGATAATTCTTCCTTTTGTCCGACCCTGGTTGCTTCATGACTTAGAAAGGCATGGGGCCGGCCAAACGCTTATCAGTTCAATTTGGTTCAGTTCATGGCTATCGTGGTCCGAGAAGGCAGCGTCTGTGAATGACGGGCCGCACCAAATATCTAGTGATAAGGATTCATATTATTCATGCGGTGAACGCCATGTGGTGTACCATTGTGTACATGCGGTGGACGCCATGCGCACGTAGTTTTTCCCAAATCGGAGGCGTGTTGGCCGAGTGGATAGCCCCTGAAGGGGTTTGGCTCGAATCCTAGTCATGGCGTGGTCCGTGAGAGCTGGTGTGAATAATGCTGTCGGTACTCCATAAAGGGGACCATAACGGCACAGGTTATTGCGATTGAGCGAATGTTGAAAATTGCGCAAACGGATACGTCATGTGTTGAGGCGAGCTTACTGCAATGTGTCGGCGTTGGTATTTGTATCATTCAAGGCCACTTGCGGGCCTTCAGACCCGGAAATAATTGTTAGTGGCCCTTTTTTGTTTGCTGTGGGCGCACTTACACGCGCTCGGGTGGAGGGTCAAATTACCCCCCCCCCCCCCCCCCGAAAGCTTTTCCAGAATGGTGTCCGAACGGCACGGCGTGGCCGCGCCAAATTCTGCATAGCTGTAGACAATTGAAGAGCAGATCATTTGGCATCAAAAATTGAGATGCACCTTGTAAGGTCGCTGACCTTTAGCAGGTCAGTCAGGCCATGGTTTCAGCGAAGGCAATTTCCAGGGAATCGTTCAGTCCGATCCAACGAGGACGTGTTGACGAAGCCATACATCTCTGAAATGCTTTTTTAGGCAACACAACACTTGAATGAGCAAATTTCATTGGCCTAAGGTCAGGTATGAAGGTCACACCAAGGTCAAACCCAATCTGTTTTGTTACTATGGGGGTTGCTGTATGGGATAGTTTGTGGTGCTCATTTCAAATTTCTTGATAGCAGGAAATTATTATGCATCTTCTATGGGCTTTTGAGAGATCAGAATAGGTCATTGACCTGAAATAACCCAGGCCAGCATTTTGTTTTAGGAGTGTACTGCCTAGCTTCTCTTTGTCGCTTAGTCAAATGCAAAACTCAAAGCAATCTTGTGTGATTTTGGTCACCTTGACCTTCAAAGTTCAATCAAGGTGACTGACCTTGAATAAGCATGTGACCTTTTGCTTAGAAGCGGTTATCCAGGTTTAGGGGCGCTTCGGAGACCAACCTGGACCTTGAACTTGTTTGACCTTTTTTGACCTGGAGGTCATAACCTAGGAACTTGAAAGTTTAATCAAGTGAGTTTACGTACAGGTCAACACACGCTGTAAATTTGGTGTCCCTAGCTTTCTTAGTTCCCGAGATCTCAGAGGGGTCAAATTGATCCCCCCACCCGAGCGAAGGGTATCTAGGTCACCCAGGTGCGTGTTAAGGCAAGCTAGCGCTATAAGATCGTTGTTTGACCTCGTAAGATGCGACCTGACAGGTCAGCCTTCACAGATACCACGAAATTACTTCAGGAAAAGCCACATGACAGTTGCAGGATTCCGGCCCTGCCTCTCATGCATGTCCATTGTGTGATATCTCAGCAGTTTAATAGAATATACATGCCTCTATTATTTGTCATACGTTTTCCACGTTGGTTCCTGCGTTCTGGAGGACAGCGCCGCAGATAGATTTGTCGGTCATCTCTTTGGTTGAAGCCCGTTGGCACACATATGCTTCAGACATTGTTCGTCGTGTATGTCTTGTGTCGTTACTTGAGCGTTGTGGTGACCGAATGTACATCTTTTGAGGGCACTTTCTCGACATCCATATGTAATCCCGCTGCGCTTTTCAGGCGAAGCAGCCCAAGCAGAAGATGAAGGTGCCCAAGGCGAAGGCGATGCCCAAGCAG